CTTACTTACTCTCTCTCTCTCTCTCTCTCTCTCTCTCTCACAATTTGCTTGGAAATTTCTTGAATTTCATTGCAAATGCAGCAGGGGAGTTTGAAAGTTCCCTTATCCAATGGACATTTCAGATGCTAACAAGTTTCTTGTATAACTTTTCAATGCAGAATGCATTTCAGATCGTTTATTTCTTGTGGATTTGGGTAAGGGAGTGGAAGTTTACTTTTTAACTATTCATCATAGTACTTGCTAATAAGTAACCTTTATGCTATTATTTTTTAATGTTTTGTTTCCTCTTGCAGTATGAGTTTGGGCTGAAATCTTGCTTCCATGAGAACTTCCGGCTTATCATTGCAAGAGTGGCTACCGGGTAAGCTTGAATCGTGTGGAGTGTGATTCTTTTTGTTGAAGTATTTACTATGTTATTAGGTACTCCACATACGCGATGAAATTTTAAATTTTCAGAAAAGCCTTTTAGAAAGTTGCAAGGATTTATGTAACTCTGCCACCTATATCGAGAAAATGGGTTCTTTTATCTGCATGAGAATCGAACGCCAAGGAAAAGTGTCTTGCTTTGGACCTTAGAATTTTTTTACTTTCTTTAGTTCTAGAGTAGTGGTGGGCACCTGACTGTCTCAATGCGAGGAATTTTGGCAAACCTATTTTCACTAATGAATATTCACAGTAAATATAGACTAAAAAGACTCTACAAGCAACAAATATTCATGAACTAAGTGAATATAACTGATTGGTTTTTGCAGGGTGGGCGTCCAGTTTTTGTGTAGCTATATCACGCTCCCCCTCTATGCACTTGTAACACAGGTTAGTACTGTCGTGTATTACTTGTTTTATTTTCTGTTGTTTGGGATAGTATCTCATAATCCAGTGGAGTGTGTTCTATATGGTTTTATGAGGGGGCATTCAGAATCCATATGAAATGGCATAATCTCAGTTTTGGATTCTTTCCAATATGTTTCCTTTATGTCTCTGCCTTCCCCGATACTTGACTCTCGCATTGTACTTTTGGACCATACAAAAGATCCCTTTGCCATGCTTCTGATCTCTTAAGTGACCTACCAGTCTTCATTGCTTTGGACTTGAATGGATTGCCATTTTTCACAGACCATTGGATTATAGTATATTCCTTAGTGTCTATGCTGCATTTGGGGTCATTCACTGTCCAATGAAATGATGGTTGGACGGTGATGGAGGTTCATGGCCTGTCAACTGTGTTCTGCTATCTCAAGAGGATTACGTTCTCCTTAGCCCATTGGATCATAGTATACTTTCTCCAAAAGTAGCAAATAGATGAACAAGGACAAATTATTACCTTCTGAGTTTTCTCAAAGTTCGTCCTCTTTTTGTCTGCAAACCTACTTGTCTCTTCCCCATGGAAGTATCCTTTCCATAAGGGCCCTTTTTTTGATTTGAATGATAAGTTCTCCTCGAGGCTGGGCGTTAGACTAAGGGTATCTCATTGTGCTCTAGATGGGTAGTCACATGAAGAGGTCGATCTTCGATGAGCAAACATCGAAGGCACTTAAGAAGTGGCACCAAGCAGCCAAGAAGAGGCAAGGGAGGTCGAGCTTGTCACGGTCCAATGGTGTGAGCCCAGCGGCTTCTCCTTTTCATCCATTGCACCGCTTCAAGACCGTTGGCCACTCAGCACGTTCAGCTCCCTCTGGGGCGGGATACTACTCAGATGGTGATCTCTCAGAAGTGGAGCCCGATGCATCGCCTCGAGAGTCCCTGGTCACTGTGCTCATCCCTAAAGATGAGCGCCATGATTCAGCAGAGGCTTCTTCTACAGAGGTTATAACCCACCATCAGGTCCACCCTGTGGACGAGCATGTCATTGAAGATGACTTCAGTTTCCCTAGACCATGAGAGAGAGAGACCCACCCTGAGATTGGTGTGGTACCTGTTTTGCAAGGCCAAACCCCTTTCGAAGTTGGCATGGATTTGGTGTAACATATGTTCAATTTATGATTTATTGCTTTCTTTGTAATATTTTGGAGATTTAAATACGCCTAGAGAAAGAAAATTAGAAAAATGCATGCAGAAATATTGTCTAGAGAAAGAAAATTAGAAAAATGCATGAAGAAATATTCTTTCATTGGGCTGAAGCCTGAAGGGAAGATTTTGAGGATGTTTGGTCATCTAGAAATTTGGCAGCAGTCTTGCTTTTAGTGGCCTCATTTGTTTTTTTTCCTGATGTTGTGGGCATGCCTCTTTACGAAAAGCTGGTTTTACTTTATTCTTAGTAACTCCCTGGAAATTACAATGCCGAAACAACCAAAACGAGCAGAAAATCATCAAGAAGTTAAATAATTGAACAAACTGATATTACCAAATAAAGATATGCAAAGTATATATTAATTTTAGGACATGGTTTCTATGCGGCCAGCTTGAACATGTGGGCATGACAATAAATATATTTATTAATATAATTTGATCTTAATTTTTAGAGAATATATAATTATGGAGATTATAAATATGAAAGCAAAAAAACTTATGAAAATTAAAAATAATAATTATATTAAAAAAACATTTGGACAATCAGTTACAATTGTTTTTAGATGATCATATATTTGCATTCATTGTAGAAATGTGGTCGAGCCTGCATGAAACGATTTTCCTTAATTTTATACGTGATAATCTACTACCAGCCGGTATGATTTGCAGTCATCCAAACCAGCTTTATATTATGTATATTCTTAGACTTGCTGGCCACATTCTAACCATGAACATTGGCACATACACTCCGTGCATGAATATCTCAAAGAATTGAATTTCATGGGAGCTAGGCACCTCATCGGAGAATTCCTGTGAAACATCAAGGAATTGAATTTCATAGGAACTAGGCACCTCTTAGGAGAATGCCTGTGAAACATGGACACAAGTATGAGGGTTTGACCATGTTTTGACACTTGGTGGATATGGACATGTGTTGACTGTTTATGATACAAACGTATGCCTTAGCTTTATATTTGTTGAATATGTAAATGTACACAAATTTCAATATATATATATATAGACAAGTGCATATACATAGGGAGCAATACATTATACGACGTATCAGGTCTAAATGTTATTTTTTAGGTTCACATTGTTGACATTCATATTTGTATCATAAATAGACTTATATATATATATATATTTCTATGTAACATACAAAAACATTGATGCCCTTAACTATGGCTTCCATAAACTGGCAAAAAAAAAAAGAAACCCTTGACAAAGAGCCACATCGTTTGATATATACCTTAGATGAATGTCTTGAGCCGCTAAGGGAGCCATAGGGATGAAGTAAATTCCACCCAAATCTACCCATCCCACCAGGTACACGTCTGCTAAGCTTGTCTCAAGCTCAGGTTCCCTTTACCAAATGGCTTAAACATATTGTCTCATATGAGCGCATCCATGTCGTTCTATGCAAAAAGATATGGATTAACTTTTTTTATTTTTTGGGTAATTTAGTGAGATGACGAATCTGCACTTTTTTTTTTTTAAATCGGTAGTGGTTTTTAAATGCGTTAGATGAGAATGGAAGATTGGACCTCATATATAGAAATTTCCATAACTATCTCTTTTTGTGAAATTTGAAAATTATATATAGAGATTTTATATCTTGGGCTCATATTCCACTTTTTTGTAGCATATTTTTTATAAATTAGATTAAGCTCAAAATGTGGGGTGTCTACTTCTCACCATGATGCATTGATAATAAGTACACAAATAACAAATTCAAATGAATAAAATAGCCAAAATGACAAAAATACACCTAAATTTTTACAGATATTTTGGTGATTTTATTCTTATTTTATTGCTTTTAGTTTTACAAATTATTTTTTATCTTTTTAACATATGCAAGATGATTTGAAGTATAAACAAACAAAACTTGAACTTAATCCGATGCATTGGAAAAAAACATAAAATTGAAATAATAGATGCACTCACAAAAAAAACACAAAAATAAAATATAAATATTGAGATCATATTAATTTTCAAAAATTATGCACGGGATATTTACTCAAATTTACCCCAACAGAAAAATAAAAAGAAAAGACCATCGCATGGATAGGCTTGCTGGCCTAAACTTGCTCATCTAGAACATTTCATTGCAGTATTGTCTTTACAATTTTCCATTTCATTGCAGAAGTAACGTTGAAACTGGTACGGGTTTGTTAGTTTCCAATGGTTTAAAACTAGGGGTTTGTTAGTTTTCAATGGTTTCAAACTTTATTAGTACCAACTTTAACAATTGGGAATTTGGGCCACCCCTACTTACTTGTTTGACTGTAGCTATAAATTGTGAATAATGAACTCTCTTTCCATAAAGGAAAAACTTTATAAATAACTCTATTTTCCAGTTAAGAACTTGATTTAAATTTGCTCAAAGAGGCAAAGCTTTCTCCCAGGAGTATTTCTCACGTTCTGAGAAACAGAGTTTTCTGTTTTCTCAACCAATTTCAATGAGATCTATTTCTCTGCCTCTGTTAAGACTGTGATCTAAATATTACCTATATCAGTGTTTGAAAAATAGGCCGATTCAGCTTGGACTCTGGTAGTGGTCGAGCCGAGCTGTCTCGAATAGGGGATCCAACTCGGGGATCTTAAAAAAGATTAAAAAAATTATAAAAAATTCAAAAAAAATAGGAAATCTATTTGTAACATATTTATTTATGTGTTGATCATTTTGGCATAGATTGGAAAATGTTTTGGCCATGAATACTTAGTTTTACATTTTCCCGTTTTTTGGGATTATTTTGGAAACACCCCCCCCGTCACCAACTGATTTTTCGAAATCTAATTTTTTACAACTTTTTTAATGTTTTTGTTTTTAAACATATAATTCCTACTTTTTAAATTTTCTTGTATTTTTTTTAAAAAAATTTAGTATTTTTTCTGTTGTTGTAGTACTCGCCCCAACTCGAGCTGAGTTACTTGGACTCGAGCCAAGTACTCGGCTTCAAGTTGCTCAATTGACACACTCATTCTTAAACTATTAAGGATGGACTTAGGATGACTATGTTTGGGATGGTGGTGCTTGGAATGATTTTGAATTTCATCGTCATTTATAATTTCTTTAGATTGCATGATGTAACTCTGGTATTTGTATTTTTGAAAGTTTGGGTGCCCCTATGGATCTCATAATTGGCATAGATTTCATTTTGGACCTTTGAATGTCCGACGCTTTGGCAGATAGAACCCTAAGTATTTACGAGTCTCATCAATATACATATCCATCTTAATAAATTTCTTCTTGAAAGTATTATTTTTCCAAATTGTATTCATTGTTTTGTCATTTAAATTGGATTCAGTCAGACCGCCCGAGCTGACTTGAGTCTTGGTGAGCTAGTTTAGCTTTGTCGAGGACCGAATCTCAAGCCATTTATGGCTTTGACACACCAGGTTTTTGAGGAAAATGATCTTTTACATAGGTATCAAGCCTGGATGGTACAAGATTAGATCAGTTGGACTATCAATTACTTTAGTTGGTATGTCCAAAATAAAAACCATGTTTGGTTGAAAATTTGTCAAAATTAATGTTTGACTGGCTTTATTCCTTTGGATTAGTCAGTTTTAACTGGTTAGATTGGTTAAACAAATACCTTTGTTGTACTATATTTTATATTGTCAAACCATTGTACTTATTTTTTTATATTTTTTGACAATCTGGTTTAATTGGTTCATTCTATGGTCGAATCAATTTTGATCAAACCAAATCCCTCATTAATACCGATCCTAAGAAATTTATATGCATAGGTTTGGGTTTGGGTTCGTCTCCAAATTCATCTCTTTTTGTACTCTACCCCATTTCCTATGTTTCAAAAAGAGAAGGCACAGCCAAAAACCGAATAGCGAAGTACCGATTCGGATTCATCTAAGCACTGCCCCGATATTACACCAGGAAGCTCTAAAACTTCCCAACACCAAAATCACATGAAAATTCAGAATTTGGTGGTTTGATCAGAACTGTAATTGAGGGAAAATAGGGCTTCAGGCGATTTAGAACCGAAGGCTCACAACAAGGTCAGCAAAAGCTCTTTTAAAACAACCTCGTAATCATTGAACCATAGAATTACTATTGAACTTCAAATAAAAAGAGAAAAGCCCTTTCACATAAAACAACCATGGTATCACTAAGCCCAACCTTGCATTGTCTGTATCATCTCAGCCTTTGGGTGCACAAGACCCAAATTCATTGAATACTAGCAAATATGATATAGGGAAACCTTTCTATGTGGCTCTACCTACATAAAATAAATATCCCTAGTACTTATACATAAAAATATATGTGACTGCATTTTTCAACCATGTGATCTAAATGGACATTTGAGAGAGCTTAAGTCAGTCTCCCAATTTATCATTTGACTATATGATCTTGATAGGAAAGCATAGAACATTCAAATTTCAACTTTTTGATAGATTATTTTGAGAAGAAATTTGGCACATTTCTGCTTCTCACTGAGGCACACCAAATAAAAAAAAAAAAAATCCTGCAAGTGGTTAAATTTTGATAAATTTTGTCATTTTTTATGATAAAAAATCTCTTAATTATATTTATCAGGTGTGCCCCAATGAGAAACATGAACGCTCCAAATTTCATCTCAAAATGATTTATTGTGTTAGACATGACATTATGAGTAAAAGTATTCCTACCATCTGTTTAAATTGAATGACTGAGGATAGGAGTCACATGTGGATAGGCCACAGAGAAAGGTTTCCCATAAATCCTAAAAGGTTTGTTTAGCACATTTAATTGTCTTCTTGGTATTTCATAATTGGATCATCAAACCCTTTGATCTAAATAGTTTAAGAAGTACATTCATACAAAGTGGGGCATGAAAGGCATGAGGTTAGGAGTGTTAAACCTATTACTAATGGAGAAAGATTGTTAAAATAAAATGAGATTAGATGAGGTGCTTTCGTTGTCGATATGTCCGAGTGGTTAAGGAGACAGACTTGAAATCTGCTGGGCTTCGAGGCCCGCGCAGGTTCGAACCCTGCAGTCGACAAGTCGTATAAGAATCATTTTGAAGTTCGTCATTGTTTTTTTTTCCATGTAAACTTATGTTCCGTTACCTTTGTGTATCCACTGTATTGTAATGAGTTGGGTCCACCAGGGACAGTCGTTATTTTCCCGTTATGTGGCTGTTCTCCAAAATCTTATTCCAGGAGCTTTTGTTCCGTTACGTACTTTATTGGATTGGGTCCACTAGTGACAGCCGTTATTTTCATGAAACCATTTTTACATATTTTCTTTTGGCTATTTAATGTTTTTAAGTTCCCTCTAGATCCATAACCATAAAGCCCTATTTTAAATTTATTTTATTTTTAAATATTTTTTTGGATTATTGGTTAAGTCCAATCCAAACCCAACAACATGAATCACCAATCCAACGGGCCAATACAGATCTATCGGTGGACCATCTACCCTGCCGATCTGAAATTTAAAACACTCTCTTAACAAAATCCTTGTTGGAGCAAATTTTGCAGTTGCTCTTTCCCGAAAAATAGCCTCTTGGTAGGATTGATCTAATTTGAAACTTTGGGATCACTTAAGAATTTCAAGACAAAATGAATTATAAAGTTTTAGTTCCTATACACCCATATACGCCTGGATCTGGGCATATAAAAAATACGACAGTTTGTGTAGTCCTTGTGCGTGTCTTTTTTAAAGCAGTTTAGAGTGTTTATCCATTTGTTCTATGTTTCATTATTATAAGTTGCTAGCTTTGGAAGAGTATATTACATTCCAAATTTAAGATTGAAAAGTACTCCTAGAATGGGGCTTTTCCCAGGGTCCAAGTATACATTTTCTTGTCATGGGACTACAAAATCTTTTAGCATTTTTTTATAAAAAGTTTTCCGCATCTTTTTTCGGTGAATTTTGGGGATATCGGGATCCAACCCGATTATTAAGAACCCAAAAAACATGTTACATGAGCAGTTATACAACTTTTGGCAAGGGAACATCAGCAACATCAGATAAAATGAAAAGCTTTACAAAATCTAAAGGACGAGCACGCCACACGGTTGTTTCATTCATAGAAACCGCTTCTTTAATTAAAGGATTGGCTTCCATATTAACTTCTCTATAAACGTGTCGGATTATCCATTGATGGTCAGCAAAATATGCAAGCATAGATACACAGTTAGCTAAACTTAAGCTTAATGTCCAAAGGGGCCTGCAACAATGGCTTATAGAATCAACAAAATGCTCGGAGTCACTTTGAATGACTAGAGGTACAGAGGTTAACTCATTGGCTAGAAAAATATCTTTCTCAAGTGCGAGAAATTCAGCTATGTTATTTAAAATAAAACCCAATGGGTCAGCAAATGGCACAATAAATCCACCTGATCATTTCTAATAATGCCCCCACAGCTAGTGTTGCTCGGATTGTGCCTTGAGGCCCCAATCTATGTTGAGCTTTAAAAAGCCTAAAGAAAAATATTCCACATGTGTGTCACCATGTGTATGTATGTTGGAAAATGATACTTGAACCCAATATCCACCGTTCATATTTATCAATCGATAATGATTGATGAACTGTTACCCGCTTTTAAAGCGTAGTTTGTTGTTGTTGTGAACAATTATTCAGCTCGAGCACATGGATAGAGGCATGGAGAAACAGAAGTTAGGAAAGAGTATCCCAGTACTAGTACCAATTAGAGAATATTTTCTTTAATTTTGCGTGATGAACTAGTAGTGCACTGCACACATGAATTATCCTTTTGCATTCAGTACGTCTTTCGAGAAGTATTTTGGATATATTTTTGCAGGTTAATTATTCAGACCCCACCACCAAGAATTTGAGGGGAAAAAAAAGAAAGAACCTTTAGCTTTTTGGATGTTCATTATACTTGTTCAAAAATCAACCAATATAACAATTTAAATTATGTTTTGGGTTCTAAGATCTTTGTCTTTTGTAACAAGAGTATTTAAATCCATTCATCTCTCTTTCTTTCTTATTTATTTATTTCTGTTTTTTTTAATGTTCTAAATTTCAGTCCTCTTTGACCAAGTGAGTGTACACAAATTTCGTTCCTCTTGTTCTAAGAACCGAATCCTTTAGCAAAATAGCGTCACGGCTGATAGCTTCAATTAACGCTTTAAAAATGTTGACTCTACTATCTATTGAGAAAAATGAGTAGGGGATGTCTTTCTCACTGAATTATTCAAAAAAAAAAAAAAAAAAAAAAATTAACAAAGGGTAAGTTTCATGAATTATGACCTTTGACCTTCCTCCTCCTCGCCGCCGTAGTGGAGGCCATTGACTTTGACTATTACTGCATAGCTCGCTAAGAAGTTCCTGACGTTGCTCTCAAGGAAATTATTGCCCAGCTCTGGCTAGGTGGAATGTGACCCCGTTAAGGCTGAAGGCCCATGCGGATCACTCGAGAACCTTTACCTCTATGCATCGTTCGTTCTGAACATTGTAGAGCTATGTAAACTACAACGGCACCTATGACGGCTTTGGGGCGATCACCAACTGTCACACCCCAAGAATTTACAATACTATTATTTCTGAGATGTGACGGACAAAACATATATACATCTATTGATAGGACAAATTTACAGTGGCGAGGTCTTACATAGTAAATAAAGAAAGCTAGCACAACAACAGTATCTTCCAAGGTTGATCTTGACTGGCACTCAAAATGAATCCGTAGTTATCCTGAAAAAAATGTTTACCATAGTTTGATGAGTTTGGCTACTCAGTAAGTGATCATCATAATCCTAAAAATAATCATGATTGAAAGCTATCAATATTTTCCAAAATGAGATCTATTAACAGAAATGCATCAACAGTTTCACTTTCAATAAATGCATAATTTAAGTATAATCAGAGTAATTGAAATGCTTATAACACTTTTAACGGTAGTACATAATTCAAAGGATTTCACAAAATACCCTACTGGCGTCCCAAGTAGGTCACCTATATACCCCATCAGCGTCCTGATGGGTCCACTTAATCTCTATCGGCGTCCCAAATAGGTCCACTTAATCCCGACAGGTCCACTTATACCTCACCGGCGTACCAGATGAGTCCACTTAATCCCTTCCGGCGTCCCAGATAGGTCCACTTATAGCTCACCGGCGAACCGGATGAGTCCACTTGCATACTTAAATTATTTCTAAATCTCTTTAAACATTCGAAAGCAGCAATATCATGTACTCAACATATCACTGAAACCATTAATATGAATTTCACTTAAACCATTAATAACAGTCACTCTCTATAATATTTCAAAAATAACCAATCAAATATTTTAGGCTCAATTTAGAAAGGTAGCCGTTTGTAAAGGCATTCTAGTATAATTGCCAATTTAATATGTATAGAAAAACTCTTATAAAAATTCAAGAATACGGAATTATCACAATTTATGGAATATCAATTCACAAATAAATATTTCACAACAATACTATAATCAATTGCAAAAATGTCAATTTTTAAATAATAAGGCAGTCATTTGCACATGAATTTTACAATGTCTAAATATTCAAAACAGTAGAAAGAAATATCACAATTTTACTAAAAGCAGAAATATCACATTTATTTCTACTAATAGACAAGAAAAATAAATAAATTTATTTTTCTAATTTACAGCATTCAAAATTTCTAACATAGATAAAATATCACAATTTTTATTAAAAGATTATTTTTTAAGATAATGGGGTTACGTGCGCATAAAATTTATCGCGCCTAAAATTCATGATAATAAGCAGAAATAATTATTTCATTTCATTTTTAAAAAGAATGGATTATTTTTTGAGACAATGGGGTCACTTACACATAAAACTTATAAAATAAAGATCCTGGACGGAAATATCATTATTTATTAAAAACAGACTATTTTTCAGGAAGACGATGTCACTTACCCACAATTATTTGAGAGGGAGCTTCCGATAAAAAAATTCGGTTCGAGAGAGAAGTTCACTGTGTTTCGACCAGAGAGAGATCTCAAAATTTTGTTTTAAGGTGGGAGTGCTCACATCCCCTATTTAAATTCTTATAACGTATTATTATATTATTTTATTACGCTCTACTTCATACCTGAGGTGTCGCGTTAAAAGTCTGCTTTTATCGTACGAAAACCACGTCCGCTAAAGGACCTTGCCAGCTGCAAGCAGCAGGAGGCAAAAGCAGGGCAACTCAAAAGTTAAACCAAAGTAAAAGATTTGAAAATAGTGATGGTCCCCAAAGACCATCATACTCAATTAGACCATTACCTATTAAAAGCATCATTTCCCCCCTTTTTTTTGGTTTTTTTTTGAAATTTTAAGATTGTTACACCAACGTCAACCCAACGCCATTATATTTGTAGTTGAGATCTGCCATCTTTAATTCACGCAACAGAGTAGAAATTATTAAAGCATCAGAAATAACACAACAAAACACGCGACAGAAACAGAGAGACAACACAGCAAAACACGAAACAGAAAAGAAATACAGGCACGATAGCAGAGCAGAGCAGAGCAGGGACTTTATGGTTGGTGGATGTGGGACCCCTCCGTGTTCGCTATCTAGAAATCCGAGTAAAAATGCAAGCATCGACACCTGCAAAACAAAATAATACCTCGAAAAGTTCAGAACAGACAATAATAGTTCGTTAAAAGAGTGGATTAGTATAAGAAAGAGAGAAGTTGAAGGTCCTTACGGCCCCAAGGCCATTATGTTTGTAGTTATGGCTTGCATAGGTTATGAAATGTTCGGAACCATGCAGAGAGGTAGAGGTTCTCGAGTAATAGCACGGGCCTTCAGCCTTAACGAGGTCACATTTCAGGCCAACAGCACAGAGCTCCTCAATGGTTTACTTGAGAACAATGTCGGATGCTCCCATTTAAGCAATGCAGTATTCACTCAGGCCTCCACTGCGGAAGCTACGAGGAGGAGGAAGGTCAAAGCCATAATTCCTTAAACTTCTTCCTTCCACTGCAGAAGCTACAAGGACGAGGAAGGTCAAGGTCATATTTCCTTAAACTTTCGCCATTCCAGTCTCTCTGTTCCTC